CCGCTGTCCTCTGCCCTTAGGAGGCCAGCAAGGTCACTGCCCCCTGTCCACCGGTGGTGAGAGCTTTGCAGAGCCCGGAGAGGAGTCTGCACTTTATATCCAAGTAGAGATGACAGAAGCAAAAAGCCTGAATCTGGAAGACAACACATCAGGGGCCTAAGAAATCATTTTGGGCATACTAACATGTGCAGAAGGGGGGTGAAGGGCATGCTCTGACCAGCAGGAGAGTCATGAGTATGAGGCCAGCTGGGGAAAGAGGGCAAAGTCAGAGCAAAGGCCCTGGGGTTCCTTCTGTGCACATCTGGGCTGCGTGGCTCAGTGGGGTCCTCGCTCACCAGCTGGGTGAGGGGAGCTGTCACCTCACTCCTGGTGCTGAAATGTACAGCCAACAAAACAGCTGCCTAGAGGTGGTGGGGGGGGGGGGAGGGGGGATGGATCAAGAGGCCTTTGAACAACTCCACAAAGAGAATTGTTTAGGAGTACACTCCAGAAGGGGGGAAAAAGGATAAGATGCCCACTTATTTATTTTTTAGTGTGGTTAGCAGCTTCCAGCTTAGTGACAGGACCCAGTGTGACTTGAAGGGACGTAAACACGTTCAAGAAAGGAAGACGGCAAATGAAGCAAGGATCAACCTCATGGAAGCCGGGTCAGACTGCCTTTGTGTCCTGTCCCCTCCTTCAGGCCACGGGAGCCCATGGGGTCCAGCCTTTAAGTCTGGGTTCTTTCTTGGTCAAATGCAAGCAAATAGCTCTCTGCTCTTCCCTCCCCTGTGGTTTAAAACTGTGAGCGATGCTTTAGTTACATCCAGGCGCAGCTGAAGCGGGCACATGTGGTTGCTAGCCTTCTGCCTTTAGCCCCTGATCTGCAAGGCAGCGGTGGGGAAGCGGCATCCGCGCTGTGCTCACCCTAGCTTCCAGGTCTACAATTCTGTGACTGCATTCAAGACTCAAGAGAAAGGAGCCACATGGATACTCTATGAAGTGATGTCACACCTGTGCCCATCACCCTAGCCCTGGCCCTCATGTGGGGACAGCCTCCCGCCAACACAGGCATGATCTTTAAGTTCTCCCAAAGTCAGACCTACCCCCAGAGAACCCCGCACAGAGCTATGAGGTGCAGGATTTCCACAATCTGACTGACAAAGCCAAGTGCCCAGGCCCCCACACAGTGCCACTCATTTCTAATATTAGCAGCCGAGCACCCGGGAAAGAGGAGCTTTTATTTTTGGGGTGAACAAAAGCAGGCACTAAAAATGTATGTGAGGCTACTGTGCTCCCGGTGCAGGTGACACAGATAGCAGAGGAAACCTGTGTGCTCAGCTATCCTCAGTCAGACGGATGGGGAGTTGGGTCTAGTTGGAAATGTGATATGCTCATAGAAACAGTGGTCTCGCTCCCTTGTGTGAACAAGGGGGAAAAGAAAATAAGGGAAATCATGCAGAGTTGTGTAAAGTGTCCCACCGGGTCATGAAGTGTTAGGCAAGAGAAAGGTTGCAGTGCTTGTGCAATGGCCCGACACAATGTGTAAACTTGGTCATTGTGTGACCGACGGTACAGCCATCCAAGGAAAACCATGGAGGCATCGTTTCCAACTCACTGGTGGCAAGTGCGTGGAGCATGTGAGCCGCCATCATCCAGCCGAGGCTGAGTGTATGGGGTAGCTGGACAAGCCACGTCGTTATTCGGTGCTGTGCAGAGGTGGATGGAAATGGGGAAATGCAGAGATGCCACCAGAATCACCAGAAGCAGGGTTACAATGCGGCACCCTGAGTGAGAAGTGGTTCTCCCTGCCACTTCCTTCTAACACCGTGAGCTGCCCCATCGTGGTCAGGAGCCCTGGCTTGCAAAGAACCAAACATAGGCAAGGTACTGTAACACCCAGGTGCCTCTCAAGCCCAAAAAATGCCTCTCTCTTTAAAAATAACTTGATGAATTTGGTAACCTTTCTCTCGACAAGAGGAATCTATTTGCAGAAAGAGTGACAGGGACTGAAGAATTGAAAAGTATAGAAAGCTAAGACTCAGGGAGAGAGCCCATTACCACTGCAATCAGTATTTGTCTCTATTGAACTTGCTTTATATTTATTTATTTTCCGAAGACTTTGATTCCAGAAAAACCATGCCGGGTGTTGCAATAGCAATGAGAAGAAAATGGGCCCCATTTAGTTCTTCTTGCCTGGCAGCTAGTTTTTGCTGACAATTCTCAAGTTCAGTGTTCTGAAACCATAGCCGAGTGATCATTATCTTCTTAAGTCTCTGCCATAGAGAAAATAGGGCAGGTCCCATACTCGACGCGGAGCTGTTTCTCTGTGGGTACTCACTGACAGACTCCTGCCCTTTTTTAGTTCATTAGAAAAAAGTCTCTGGACTATTTGTCTCTGCCTTAGAACCATCTTGCTTTGCATGGATTTTTTTGTGTGCCATGTCTCTCCTCCCTCTTCTAAGAATCACCGGAAGACATTAAAATGATATGAGGACCTTGTCTCTGCTACAAGCTCCCACTGTGTGAATGAAAGCCTGTCTCTGCTACAAACTCCCACTGTGTGAATGAAAGCTCTAGTTGGGGCAGCCCCTCCCCCCCACACTCCCTAGGGCCCACCTTACACTCTACCTGATGTCATCTGCTTTCCTGTGTCCCTTGCTGGACTCCAGGCTCCAGGTGGGCCCAGAGCTGGGCCTGTTCCTCCCAGTGTCCCACCTAGATTTCCTGGGACACCATGACTTCTCATTAAAGATCTGCTGACACGTCTGTATTGAATGTCTGCATGACTGTTGCTCAGTTTCCTTTTAATTTTGTTTTATGTGCTTGCTTTTGGATATTCTCTGTTATATAGCTTTTGCTCGAGTCCTGTCTTTTAACATCGCTAGACTTTTAGACTGCAAAGAGAGGTCTTCTGGTTGCACAGCCTAATGATTTCTGAGAAGTTATTAAAAGGACCATGTCTTATGAAAATTATTTTCATGAAAGAAATCCAATCATTTTCTCCCACTTGCTAATTAAAGATATTTCCCCACCTATACTTTAATGCAACTGCTTTCTTCAAATTGGAAAAGCAACAAAACCTCATGACTCCTTGTATTTGTTTATGTTGTAATGTATACAAGTTCTTATACACTGTATCATATACATTGTAATGGATACACAATCACATTCTGACACCACACCAGTGGTGCAAGACTGATGGCGCAGACACCAACATCCAGCCTTACTAAAGAAACCAATCAGGGTCCGAGGAAAATGGAGCTATTTTCCCTGAGGCCACCAAGCTAGCTGTGAGGATGGTCAGTGCCCAAGGCCTTTCCACTCTCTGCATTGCGATAAGTTGGATTGTGCTATGTAATTATGCCTGTATAGACAGCAGCAATAAGCAAGAGAAAGACTATGATACAAAAGTGTGAGCACTAATTAATTGCTAGTGTTAATGAAGCCAAAGCTGACGTTATTGAGAAGAAGCAGCTGGAGAGATGAGCTATGTACCCCCTAGGCAATTTTGTGTGTGTTGTTCTGAGAGCTAGAAGCAAAGAGGCACATTGTATTCTTATAAGAACACCTGGACAACGAACAAGGGAGACCCTTTTCCCTGATGCTACAGTTATTTCAGCCTGGCTGAGGCATCCTCTATCTGACAGCTGTTAAAAGACAGAAAAAAATGAGAATGAAGTTTTGTGTAAGGGTCTATGAACATTAAAAAAATCCTACAGTTTAAAAAAAAATCCTACAGTTACCAGGCACCGGTGGCTCACGCCTGTAATCCCAGCTACTCAGGAGGCTGAGAAGTGAGGGTCACAGTTCAAAGCCAGACCAGGCAGAAAAGTCCCCATGAGACTCTTGTCTCCAATTAGCCACTCAAAAACCAGAAGTGGCGCTGTGGCTCGATGTGGTACAGCGCTCACTTTGAGCAAACCAGCTCAAGGACAGGGCCCAGGCCTTGAGTTCAAGCCCCACAACTGAAAAAAACAATCCGACAGTGGCTTGTTGTCTCTAGTTTGTCAGCCATTCCTATCTCAGCTGTGAATTTAAACTAAACCCAGCCTAGAATTCTGCCAGAGTCGGCTCTTTGTTCGTCTCTTGAATTCTGATTCATCTTGAAATCAAACCAACTCATTTAAAAGGCAAAAAAAAGGGGGCAGAAGAACAATCACATCTGGATTTCCACTGAGGCTTACATGTGCTCCTGGCCCATCTCTATTAAGAAAGCAAACATATATTTCTTTTCCTTAATGAGCTTTTGGGAGTGGACAAAAATGTTGAGGAAGAAAAGTGGACTCTTTTAAAAAGGATTATGGAACTTTCCTGTGATATTTTCTGTAGTCTTGTATTAAAAATAGAAAATGATTAAGATAGCCTTCAGGTTAACTTTGTATTTGTTCTTCCATTGGAAATAATACGCCATCTTAGAAGTCAGTTTGATAGTAAGTGGTTCCATAGTCATTCGCCAAAGGCATGCAGAGAGTCCTGGGTCTGTGGTGAATAATGGTAAAGAAGGCAAGGATTCTTGCTCTGAAAGAATTTACAATTTAGGAGAGAGGAGGTCAAGGAATATATGAATGGATGGATGGATGGATGTCTGTATGGATGGATAGATGGATGGATGAATGGATGTATGGATGGATGGATGGAGGATGGATGGATGGATGGATGGATGAATGGCTGGCTGGATGGATGGATAGATTGATGGATGGATGGATAGATGGATGAATGCATGAATGATGGATGATGAATGGATGGATGGATGGATAGATGGCTAGATGGATGAGTGCATAAGTACATTAATGAGAGACAATGTGGGATTGGAAAGCTGAGTTTGATGGGAGACCTTGAACTCTGTGCTTAGTCAGCACCTTGTTTGCTTCCTAGTGATGAAATGACTAAGGAGGAAAGACCCTCCCCACAGCCGGAGGCTCTGTCTGGGTGTGCTCTCTTCAAGGGGGGATGGTCAGAGACACGGGTGTAGTTTCAAGTGGAGAAAATAACTGTGTGTTGCTTTGTTTTTCTTCTAGGAATCTTGGGAAGTCAGGCCTCAGAGTTTCTTGCTTGGGTCTTGGTAAGTACTTGGGTGTGGCGTAGAGGTGGTCTGGAAGGTGGGAGGGTGAGGAAGGGCCAGGAAGAGGCGTGGGGCAGGGGAGGGAGCCGCCTGAGGTGAGAATTCCTGGCCAGCACCAGTGCAACTCCCTCCCCTACACTCCCTTTGTCTGTCCACACAGCCCTCTGCCTCTCTGGACAGAGGAGCCGTGGTGTTCATGGTGCACAGAAGGGCTTGGAGGAGGGGCTTCGCACCTCACTGAGCAAAAGGGACCGCATGTGCTCACTCACCCCTCCCTCAGTCCACTGCAATTGCCCACCCATCACGTTCCTGCCGTCTAACCTCTGGTACTGTTATATACGTTATTTGCTTTTTATATCCTGCCTTACATTCTTAGGGGGGAGTAAAGTGAGCTAAATACATACTTATATACATTTATATATAATTAATTAAATGCAAATTATTTTTCATAGGGCCTGGGGTAATGTACTTGCCTTTCATTGGCTAGACCCTGGGTTTCATCTCCAGCACCACACCAAAAATTTATTTGTTCTAGAAAATGCAAATATTTAAAGAACAGTGAACAGACACGACGATTTTGAAAGAGCGAGGAGGAATCCAAAATAGTGTTGTCTGGGTAGGAGACATGCGAGCGCACAGAGCGTTCAGCCGTTCTCCAGACACCGGGGTTTAGGCCATTCAGCACCACCTCCCCCCCCACCCCTGCAGGTGCCCAGGACTGAGCCATCGGCTAAGAGAGTCCAAACCAGTGCAGGAGATGAGGATGTGCTGAGAAGTCTCCCCTTCACACAGGAAACCCAGATTTCCTCCTGCACGTTATGTGAGATGAGAGATAAAGAGATAAAGTCCAGGGTGACACTAAAACTGTTTGAGCAGAAGAGAAAATGGATGTGACATTGATCGAGATGTGTGTACTCACAAGCTGACACACTGAATTGAGAGCCCTCTGTACATTACTTACACACAATCAAAACAGATAAGCTGACACAAGAAGTTGGAATACCTAGTGGATGAGATGTGGAAGGAGGGAAGAGAGCTTTAGGGAGGTAGGGGACTGGGAGATGACTTTTGGATATATTAAGAAAACAGAAAAGGTTGTCAAGTAAGTCAATGGACTTTTTTAAAGAAGCAATGTTGGTTGGATCCAGAAACTCTGGGTCCATTAGCACAGGGATGCTTTCTAAACCATGACACACTAAGATGAGATCTCATAGAAGTAAGTGGAAAGCTGAGGAACGTGAGCCAAAAATTGAGAAAATGATGAGGATTCAGCCAAACAGCAGGGAGGAGGCCACCCATCTGCTGACAGCTGCTGGTTAAGTCCGGGAAGATGCAGGCCCGGAACTGGCTGTCAGGGTTAGGAACGTGGAGGCGCTGAGGACTTTGAGCAGATGGGTTTCAGTGGAGAAGCAGAGCACAGAGCTGGATGGGCTCAAGGGAGAATGGAAGGAAAAGCTCGAGGCAGCTCTTCTGATGATCACGTGAGAGAGAGCCCTGAGCAGGCCGGGTGCTCAGAGAAGTTCCCTCCACGTGTCAAAGCAACTTCCCGTGTATATGCTGATGGAGGGGGAATCTTTTCAAGAAGGAAAAAGGTGACTATCTGGGGTGATTTCTCCAGGGTACAGGAGAAGGTAGCAAGGCAGATGGCAGTGCCATGGTTTTGAACAAAGCCAGTGGGGATGGAGGGTGGCGGTGACCACACAGGGTCCTTGTTGAGCTGTCCTGTTGCTGCTGTACTCTCACTGGAAATCAGAGACGAGGTCAGCAGCTATGATGCAGAAGCACTGTGGTATTGGACGTCTGAAGAGGGGAGCAGAGGCTGAATGGCCCAGGGAGTGTGCCCTGTGGCAGGAGACCATCCCATCTTCTCCAGCCCTGATCAGCTACGCAGGCTCAGGAGAGGTTTCAAGAAGAAGGAGAGGGAGACAAAGTTGAGAGTTTCTATAAGGCAGTTAGTATGGCGATGGCCTTTGGAATTTCACTGAGGAGGGAGAAAAATAAAGAGTGGAGCCAGAAGCTAAAACGAGAAAGCCAGAGCTGGTAAGAAGTAGTTAGGATCAATAAAGGATCCATCCCAGAGGGCTGGAGGCGGGCGCGGGGGGAGGGGGTAGGAGGAGGGAGAAGGGATACTGGAAGGGAGAGGGAGATGTCTGACGTGGATGATGGGGGAGGTTGGGTGACTGGCAGTGACAAGTCGAAGGGTGTCTGTGGGCGTCTGTGATGCAGGCTGTACTGAAGATGAGGGGCAGAGAAGGGGAGGTCGAGGAACTGGCAGGTGGGGTGCCTGCAGGTAGGGTACAAGAAAGGGCCATCTTCGGCGTCACCGAACCCCACCGCGAGCACAGTGCCTGAGAGTGACCACCAACAGGAGACAGAATGTTCCAAGAGAGGAGGTAGGGATCAAAGAGAGGAAGTGAGGTTCAAAGCCGGTGTGTGTGGGAGAGCTATCTCATGACATTGACAACCGTCAGACTCTTCCCCCCATGACTCGGGGTTCACTGTGAGTCCAAGACAATGTCACTCCCATTTCATTCATGGTTCTGTTCTTATTTGAAAACCCCTTGAGATTCATTAGCAGGGAATAACCTGACCCTGAGTTGTGGTTCTTCTTTCGTTTTCTTTTTATTTTTAAGAATGTGTAATCATTTGCTATTTATTGCTGAAAGAAAATGAAAAGACAGCATGCATTGATAAAAACATAAAGTAAGAATATAGTGGAAAAAATCATTGGCTAGCCATCTTTGGGTTGATTCTGAGTCAATCAATCAAAAGCCTCTATGACTAGAGCAAATTCCGAGGCCTGCGGAATTCTATGGGTGAAAGAGTCTCCAAAGACTGCAGCTCGGTTGTTTGTTTTGTTTGTTTCTTTTCGAAAGCCAAGGTTTGTATGCTGTGTGGGTGTTTTTGTGAACTCTGAAGCAGACTTGATTCTGAAACAACTAGCTCTTATTTAAGCTGCCTGTTCCTCTGAGAGCCTGAACACTCGTGATAAGATGCTTCGTGAAAAGCTGGAGGAGCAAGGCCTTCATTGAGAACAGGGAACAAAGCTTGACAGCCTAAATAGGCACCTTGGAGAGCTCCTCTGAGCAGCCTGGGTGAGGCAGTGGAGACTGAACGCCCAGAGAGAGCCATGCACCTGTCTTAGGTAATTCTGCATGTTCCGTAGACCCCAGCTGTTGGAAGCAGGTAACACTGGACTGGCTGCCCCTGGATTGGGTGTCAGTGCAGTCATGACCCAAGTTCAATGAAGGCGTCAGAAATTAGCAATTAAAACTCACACATTGTGCAAGGCCTCTGCACTTCTGATCATATAAAATAATATTCATCAAAATGAAAATAAAAACTCCCAGGCAACCCAGCCACTGGGGTCTTGTGCCTGTCAGCTTAGCTATTCAAGAAGCTAAGATCTGAGAATCAAGGTACAAAGTCAGCCCAGGCAGGAAAGTCTGAGAGAACCTTATCTCCAATAAAACACCATAAATAAATGAGTAAATAAAGCCAGACAGGAGCTGTGGCTTGAGCAAAATAAGCTCGGGACAGCAACTAGGTTTTGAGTCCCCGCCCTAGGAACAGCATCAATAAACAAATACATAAATAAATGAACCCTGCAGCAGTCAAGATCGCACAGTTGTAAATACTTTGAAGGTCATAATAAAAGCTAACAGTTTGGGTGTTCTTTGCTACCAGAGAAAGAGCAGCTAGGAGAGCCTTACCCTGCCAAGTTGTCTCTGCAAGCAGGTGCAGAAAGGTGAAATAATTTGAGAGTGAGCTGATTATATTTCTGAAGAAATGCAGCTGTACCAAGGGAGCAGGGGAAGCAGCCAGCCCCATGTGTGTGTGGCCATAGCCAGGTTGCTGTGAATGCTCAGGGCCTGCTACAAGCAACCTGCGCAGTCAAAGAAACTGGCAGGGAGAGAAACACCCTAGAGTTGAGCCCCAGTCATTTCCTCCTCTCTGTGGGAAGGGAGAGTAGGATTTGTGTGTACTTTCACTGCTAAGGACACGTGTGTGCAGGAGGCTCTGTGCTGGTTCTGGGAGAATGCTGAGATGAGACAGGGAGCAGCCACTCTGTTCACTCGTGGGGTGATGAACTGAGTGGTACTGCAGGCGACTCTCACTGCTGTAAGAGGCACAGGGAAGCCAGGTGGGGAAAGGCTCTTGGGGACTTTGGGAGAGCCCCACAGCTAGGCACAGCTGGCAGGAAGGAGTCAGGGGCAGAAGGAGAGGAACATTCTGGAGAGCCAGGAAGGAGGGAGGGAGACCCCATGGGGTGGGCTGGGGGGCTTATCATGAGCATAGGGTGGAGCCAGTGCCCAGAGTTCGGTGAGGCTGGAGTAAGCCGGCCTGGGCCAGCACCCTGGTTTGCCTAGCAGAGGCATCTAGCTCTTAGCCGCATACCAAGCTCCAAGATCCGATCTTGGGAAAGGCTGAGAGGTTGAGGCAGAGCCAAGCGTCATCCATTCCTCCTCCCTCCTCGTTCAGTTTCCAGCAAAGCAGCTACTCTAGCTCTCCCCAGACTATATTTTTTTGCAGAAGCTTCATGGTGTAACACAACTAAGCAGGAAGCAATCTCCCACTCTCTGTCCTACACCGCCCCAACTCCCTGGGCCAGGGTTCACCCTTTGTGTCGGGATGTGTCCGTGCTGCTTTATGTGTTCAGGGAGTTGATGTGTGTGCTGGTGACAACATCACACATAGAAGTATAGTCCTGCCACCTGGATCCCCTTTGTTCTGCCTGTTTATCTTCCTCCCACCAACTTCTAGAAACTTCTTGTCATGTAAGGGTCCCCATAGATTTTTCAGAGTCATCTGTCTGGACCCATGACCCATGACCAGAGTCCCAGGCCAAGTGCTTGTGCTTGAACATGCCACTGATGTTCCTCCACCTCTTCCCCTGGGTTGAGAATACATTTCTCTACAGGGCATTGTGCCACCAGCTGTGGGTGGGTGCCCTGTGCCAGAATAGGAGTTGTAAACCTCCTGCTTCTGCTTGTGAAGAA